ACTCATGTAAAGGTAAACGAAATTGCAGGCTCTGAAACTTAAAGTAAGAAAGTGAAAAGTAGCTCTTTGGATGTTTCTATTTTTAGAACTATAGAAACATCCTCTCCCCAAAGCTGTTAAACTGAAAGTAACAAGCCCGTTTTAAAAATGTAGAGTAGAAAGTACAGATACTCAAGTACAATTTTCAGGTATCTACTTTACTTAAGTACAGTAACAAAGTATTTGTACTCTGGGTATAGAATGGTACCAAAAAATAGTGGAACATCTCTTTAGAGTAAAATTTGGGTACCTGTTGGGTGGCAGGAAAAGTATGGAAACAGCACTAAAGGTTACATATGATGACTCATTTCTGTGTTCGTTAGATCACAGAAATTGCAATATGCTGTAGGAATTATAGGTACTGCAGTGCAGAGGTTTGAATTGTATCTACATATCTATCAAACTCCAACTTGCTCATGTAAATGCGGAGTTGTCCTCACACACTAAGATAAATTATGGAGTTCCACAGGGTTGTGTGATGGGACAACTTCTGTCTACATCATACAATCCATTAGGCAGCATCATTAGAAGGGATAGTATACATTTTCACTGCTATGCAGATGACACCCAGCTGCTCACCAGATAACACACACACCAATTAGTTAAACTGCAGGAATGTCTTAAAGATATAAAGACCTGGATGGCCTCTAATTTTCTGATTCTAAATTCACATGTAACAGAGGTTATTATACTCTGTCCTAAAAAATCCTAGAAACATGGCGTCTAATCAGATACTTAATCTGGATAGCATGATGTTGGCCTCCAGTAACACTTTGAGGAATCTTGTTTTTGACCAGGATATGTCCTTCAATGTGACAGACTACTTTCTTGCATTTACACAAGGTCACTAAAATTACAAACATCCTGTCTCTAACACTCAGCAGTGCTCAGTGGATGATCAAAGTAGATAAGAGTGATGACACCAGAGTGAGTAAAATATGACAATACCTTTAATCTTCTCTAAAACTGACTTCATACTTGCTCTTACATAGATGGAAGGGCAGTTGCTGAGAAGACTGTAATATAAACAGAAATGTTTCTGGTGATAAACTCAGGATCAACGGCTCTTCTAGTTATCCTTCAGTTAAAAATGAATGAATAAGCTGACCATGAGTGTCTGTGAAGAAGTAGCCTACATGATATGCTGAGCATGTGGGAGATTTGAAAATGTAGACATAACACCACAAGACCTGAGACAAGCACTGCTTGCATCTGTTCATGGCACACGTGCTGGAAATGCGCTCAACAATGGCTGTTGCACTGCTCTTGGTTGCCCCGGTGATGAGTGGTGTAAGAGGCAAGAGTGATAGACTGGCATCCTTCACCAAAGCCTCTGGTTTTAATTTGAATTTTTCTGACTCAAACGGATCAGGTGATGACTGAATACAACTTTAGAATATTTTTGTGGACTCTAAATATGATTTTAAAAAAGAAAGTATCAGGAAGCATTTCTTGATATATGCTCAATCATTGGGGAAACCTGTATTCAGCTGAGACTGAGGAAGTCACTTGGATGAGTGATGAAATGTTTCTCCCACTGAAAACGCTACGCCGTAATGAGCAAACTTTTTGTACCGGGAAGCATGCACACTGGGGCTTCAAAATATAAGTCAAGCTCTCTCTGTAGTTCTCTCTGTACACAGGACATAATTTGATGTCTGTCTTTTGGGTGTAAATTTGTGATGAACTTTAGTAGCACTGCCCTCACTGTGCCCTGATGTCAGAGGCTGACACAGGAGGCAGGAAAGTACTGCGTACCACTCAGGAAATCAGGTTATCTTAACTTTGAAAGCTAAACGGTCTCAAATGTCTCTATATTTATATGCTGCTCCCTGATGTGGACAGGACATACTGGTTTGGACAGGATCTTAAATATTCAACCTGAAAATCTTTACAGACATACATGATGTAATTTGTCTTAGAAAAGAAATCTGCAAGCCTTTTAAGATTGGATTTAAAAGTACAATCACACCAAAAATGAAAATTACTTTTGTTTTATTATTCTCATAAATCTCATACTTTTGCTTTTGCGTTTTCTGTGGTGAAATAATAAAGGTACTGGATTGGAGGATTGAAGTCTGATGTCACCAGCATGGTTACATGATGAGATCCCACAGTGTCTCTTGTGTCACAGTAGCTTTAACTAAAGGCGAGCCGTTTATTGCAGGCTGGTTAAACAGTACAAAATAAAAGGGCAAATGCAAAACTAAAGAATAACCTAGAGTGGGTGAACTAAGATTAAAACATGAAAAAACCCCTGAACATGAAGACCTCCCATGAATACATGAAAACCTAGAAACATGACATGAACACAGCAGACAAAGCAGGACGATTACACAGGGGATGAAGTCACATGGGGAATCTAATACAACTGGGCAACCTTGGAGCTCAAGATAACTAAATGAACTTAAACATACACCATCAAAATATATGAAAACTCAAAACGCTTGGTAAAGCGACCAAGGATCGTGATATCTTGTGGCTGTGTATGGTTAAATGACACCAAACAAGCGTCAGTTACAGAATAAGCTGTTTGGCATTTGCATTATTATCCTATCCCAGCTGTCATAGGACAAGAGCATTAAGAGAATTTGAGTTTCTCAAAAAAGCTTAAAATATAGGAGTACCAAACAAACACTAAAATAACATAAATTCTTTTACAGTACATTATATAAAAATCCACTAAATGAATCATGAAAACACTCATTTTTAAGTGTTTAAGGATCACAGAGCAGACCAATAAAATGCTGACAGACACTTATTGATTTGGTTGAAAGAAACCACCACCCATTAGCTGTCAGTCAGTCAACAGCAGGCAACAAATGAATGCACGACAGTTAAATTTTATCCGCAGTCTGTGAATAAAAGTGGGACACCATGTTCAGCATTCTCCGGGACTGATAACAGTATTTGAAAACAGGTTTGGGGGAGTTTACCGTAAGCCGTGTGCAGTCTGGAAAAACTTTTGATAAACCACGTTACTCCCCAGCTTTGACCAGTCAGCAAAGATAAGCGAGGAAAAATATCATTTTCTACTTCATGGTTAATTAAAAAGTGGCTCGATGACATAAAAACAAATTAAGCACTCATTTTTAATATGTTTACATACTTCTCTGTTTATTACAGTTTACTGAAACTAAATTACAACTATGGTATGTGTGAGGGGGAAAAAAAAAACACTGAGTGAACTGCCTTCACAAAGTGCTGTGTTTGCGTTGCAGTATCTATTCCACACTTCTTAAATCTGACCACCGCTTCCCATATGAAACAAAACACAACTAATGCTAAATGTTATGACGTGCGGTGTACAGACGAGGATCCAAATGCAGAACAATACGGTGGATAAAGTTAAATAAGTCCACATAAAGCACATAAGTAGCACCAATGGAGACCATCAACAAACAGTCTAACAAGGTCAAACACAGAGACGGGACAACTATTTATACAAACCGGGCTGATCAGGGAGAGGAGGGCAGGAAACAAAACCGACACAGGACTCTTTCTCCAAAACAACAACCTGTGGGAGACATGAGTACTAAAACTAAACAACACGCATGAGATGAGGAATCGGTCTGAGACAGAGGGAGGCATACCACAAACACAGGGGAGGGTACATCTGCTAAATAATAATAAAGTAAAGAGTTATGTTGGATCACAGATGTGCCAGCCCTCATTTCTTTGTGTTGTGTTTCTAAAGATCCAAATGTTCTTTATTGGACGTTAACTCCTTTTTCACCTGTTTTCAGTCCTGTGTTTGTGCCTGATCATTTTCACAGGACTGTTATTTTGTTGAGCCGCACATGTAGTAGAATAAGGCGACAACAAGGCAAGCTGTTTGTACTGCAAGTTTATTTAAATGGCAGTAAATCATTTTTCCTAATGTGAAAGTTATTTTTGGCAGTGTGAGAGTAGCTTAAAAAATTGCATAACTATAGGTAAAGGAGACACTCCTTTTCTGTACACTCCTTTCAAGAAGTCGTGTTTGAACAATGATTACGAATGAAGGAAAAAGTTAGGCTTGGCTTCATAAAGCCTGCAGAGTTTTATTGGATTGATATTTTTTCTTTAAGCTGTAAAAGGAGAACAGTCCTCGTCACATTTATGGTAAAATAAAAGGACAGTTGAATAATAAAGCATACGTCATGCACATCAACATTATAAATATTAAGTAAAGATGTAAAAAGACAAAGTTAATCTGTGCACCAAAAAGTACAGCGTATTTATAATAAAAGACTGTATTTACCATGAAATTGTACACTGGTTAAAATTACTTATTATAATAACTTATTTGTTAAAAACCTGACTTGGGACCCCCTTTCATCTATTGTGCCTGGCTGCATCGAATAATAAAGATGTCCGTTCCAAGTACTGACTTTGCTGCTTGCTAAAATTGTACAAATTTCTGTATTTCCATTTATGTTTGCACCTTTCAATAAATCACTGCACCCATGTCCCATTTTCCTACCAAAATATAAAGAAATGAGGGGTAGCTCAAGACTTTGCACAGTACTTTATCTGTTTTTGACATGTCATAGCAGACAAAAGTTGTAAGTAATATGAATACAAACTCGATTCCTTAAAGCCTCTTCAGTCTCTCATGCTGTTCTGCTCTGTATATAGAACAGAGCCATTGCTGATGTTTGGAGGAAAGTCTGAAGGTCAAAGGATCTGCTCGTAAAAAAACAACCCCCCCCC